GGGAGCCAGTGCCTTAGAGAGGACGATGTGCATTGCAGGGGAGTTTGGGAGGTAAAACCCACAGGATTTAGCTATGAGAAGTGAAGACGTGACTACATTAGAAAATCAGTCCTCAAAACAGCTCATATTCATCGAGTCTTCCTACTTGTCATGCTGACTAGATTTTAGAAAAATTCTCTTTGGAAATAGAGATGTTAAAAAAGAGAAAGTATAAAGCTCCATCCAACGTTAGTGTTTTGCAAAAATGGCAACTGACCCTTACATCTGAAGGGCCTATTTCAGATTACAGACGTCTTTAATTCAGTTGTGTGTGTGTGTGTGTGTGTGTGTGTTTTCCTTCTGAATATATTTGTAAGAAACTCCTAGTTCCTAATTTAGTTCCTTTGTTTATGAACCTGTAACTGTCAGTAGACTCCTTTGGTGTATGGCTAAGCTACAGATCACAGTTTGGCTAAGTGGGCTTCCCAGAACTAGTCCTATAAGAAGTAAGAGATTTCACTTAGAAGCATTTTTGATAAACAATAGTTTAAAAAATATTTCATGTATCCTTGTGGAGGCTTTTCAGATATTATAATAAAATAGCATGCATTTTGAATATCCAGGGAAGACTTATGTAGCACTTCCCAGCCCAGGAGTCCACAGGACTTGTGACTGTGGTTCCGTGAGATACCTGATTTAACAGGGTCATGCACATCTTGGTTTAAGCTTCTTCAAATGGGTTTTGCATATAACAGGTCTTTATAATTTGTTAAGTAAATGCAGACTGAGATTAAGAGTTGCAAATGTAACACCCAGTCTCTTGGAGGACTGGCATGAGGGGGGTTGGCGGGGCCCCTGCCACTAGGAGGACACCTGGCCACTAGTCCTTCCAGCCAATGTGCTGACATATGAAATATCCCAATGTTTAAAGAGAATCCAGAAATTCATATTTCTATATAAAATTTTAAAAAAATCATTTCAATGCTCAGATCAAACAGAACATATAGGCTCCAAATTTTCAACTTCTGAGGTATTCTAACACACATTATATTCACCAAGTTAATTAAATCCAAGTTTTTTTCATTTTGTGACTATTTCAATGAAATTGACACAGTTGCATTAAAATATGTTGGAAATATAATCTAGTGCTTATGTATCCTTTATACGTATTTTCATCTACTTTTCTCAGTAGACCTTTAAAAACATAATAGTTATTTCAAAGTTACCATAAGTGGTATATGTTCTCAGTTTAAGTTTTTATCCAAGATGATGGGACAAGTGGGGTTAAAAGAAAATCACACTGAACAGTCAGGGTAAGCAGCAGTATCCAAGAATCTTCCCGTGAAATCCATAAACACCTTCCTCCTTTTTAAGGAATCCCCACTTTTAATTTGCCATTATGAAAATTTTCATTTCTACTTTTTAATTTTCTATTTGGGAAAAGTTAACTCCATGTCTCGGGGGCATCATCACAGATCCTAAAAGAGATAACTTTCCCCATAGTATTGCCAAACCCTGAAAAAAAAATCCCTCCTTTATTTATTTAAGCACCTTTTTTCCCTGGTTCAGGAGAGAACAGGTCACTCAGGAATAAAGGGCAATAGAAAAGCAATCCCATCTGAGAAAGCACATTATTACACCAGAGGCAAAACCTGAGATATAGCAACACAATCAGACAGTTTAATTACAGATGTGATTGTCTGTTTGGCTAAAAAGAAGAAATGTCACTGCTTGACCTACAGGAAGCCTCCGTTATTTAGCATATGATTCGGTATCTTGTTGTTTACCCAGCCTCAATTTTTTTTTCCTTTCCTTCTGAAAGCATTTATCCACTTGAAAACTAACAGCGACAGGACAATGTAGTCGTAGCACATTTTTTATATATTTCTTAAGTCCATTAAAACACTGTGTGTGCACACACCATTCACACAGGGCCTGTATTGCTATAGCAGGTGCTTTACTGTTTATCCTTTGCCTAACACTCTGTTCGCATATCTTTTTCCTTTTTCGTCATTTAGAAGTCCAGCAAGAATCGTGGGGGAAAGTTATGGTGGTAGCATGGTTCTATTTTGTAAAAATCAATTGTATTTTTTAATGAAGTGTTAACTTGAAAAAATGAGATTATTTTTACTGCTAATGGAACCGTGTCTATAACCACAGCTCCCCAACCTGGAGATAACTTGTTTCATGACCTCAGTAGTTGAAAACGTATCCAAGGAAATAGAACCAAACCAATCAGTCGACGACAGCCGAAACAGATAATCACAACAACAAAAAAAATAATAATATCACCTCCTGCAGCCAGGGCAGGTGGGCTTCCAATCCTTTGAAGAGGTTTCCATAGACATAATCTCATTTGATCTTCCTAACTGTGTTGTAAAAAAGGAAGGGTCTCCCATATCACCCCATGTTTTCAGATGAGAAATGGAGAACCACTATGTAGCTATTTGATGCTAATCGGGACAATGGTTGAGGCTCAGTTCATAGTTGTTCCAGGACAATGACATCCTGGGGTGATCCCAGGCAAACCTGAACAGTCACCCTAGAATGAGGACATCGGGTCATGCCTGTGGAGGGGCACCCCTCGGCATGTCAGGGCTCAGGTGCCCTCTCGCAGCAGCACACCTCTACCTGAAGCACCAGGTGACCTGACGCTGAGCGGGAGGAAGCACACAGGCAATGACTAGGTTCCTTGGTGGCTTTGTGGCTAGTGGCCCATCCAAATATCAAATCAATCCCAAGGGCATGTGCAGCCCCCCGGCTGCCTCAGAGCAATGGCAGGGTCCGGAGCTCATGGCTTGGTTGGCCGCGTTTCCATGGGGTAGGAGGCTACAGGGACTTCTTAGGAGAGGTGAGGAATGAGGAAGGACAAGGGCAGCAAAGGTGACAGGCAAGCAGACAGGAGAAGCCGAGCAGGAGCTGCCCCCAACAAATCCGGATTGGTCAGGAGCTCATGGGAAGGAGCGGGTTCTGGGCATTCACCTGGCGAGGACCAGCGCCTAAGGCCAGACCTGGGCAACGCCACCAAAACCTGGAATGCGGCTTCTGGCTTCTGCAGGGCTTAGCAGCAAGCGGGAGGCTTCAGGTGCTGCCACTGGCCAGAAGGACAAGGGCAGGGCAGACAGCTCTGGGAGCCCCAGCTGACCCACCTGAAGCTGGCTGCAGCCTGTGGAAGGACAGGACGCTGCTGGGCCCAGGCGCTCCGCAGCCACAAGCACTGCTGGTGAACTGACATCCGGCCACGCCAGACCCTCGGCTCCTCTCCAGGGCCCGACAGAGGCTGGGCAGGGTGCTGAGGGACTGGGTCAAACGACCTTCAATGACCTTCTCAGCTCAAACATTGGCTTGAATGTTGAATCTGATCTTGTTTTTCACAGACATAAACTGGTGTGCTGCTTTAAAAGGTGCATGGTCCACGTGGAATAGATCTTAGGGAGAGGACCCATCCCAAAAGAGTTAACATGAGCTGCATAGGGTGGCACATGCCTGTCGTCCCAGCTGTGCAGGAGGCTTAGGCAGGAGGGATCCTAAGTTCAAGGCCAACTGCAACTTAGCAAGACTCTGTCTCAAAATAAAAAATAAAAAGGGATGGGGATGTAGTTCAGTGGCAGAGCACCCCTGGGTTTTGTATACCACAAAAAAGTGTGTGTGTGTATGTGTGTGTGTGTGTGTAGAGAGAGAGAAGGAGATATAGATATGTATTATATAAATACACATACATAAATGTGTGAGTACATATATAATAGAATATATGTTATATATATTATATGTAATATAATATACATTATATTCTATTATATATATTTTCTATAATAATAACATATTATATATAATAAAATATAACATATATTAATATATAATATTTCATATTATATATTAATATATTATATGTAATAGAATATAACATATTCTATTACATATAATATTATAGAGATATATTTTATTAAATAGAAATATTATATATTCTATATATTATATATATATATTAGAAAGACATGGCAATGCACACCTGTAAGCCCAGATACTTGGGAGTCTGAGGCTGAGGATCACTTGAGTTTGGGAGTTCAAGACCAGCCTGGGCAATATGGAAAGAACCTGTCTCAAACAAACAATAAAGACCTAAGACCCATTAGCTATCATTCTACATTATCCAAAGTAAAGCATTCAGAAAATGTATGAGACCCCGAATTTCAGTGCAACCGAGTGTCCCTGGACACAATCGGATCTGCCCAAATAGACTGTAGGTCGCCACTCATCTTCTTCAACTAGGCTTTGGCAGCTTTCTGAAATACTCAAGACTTCCTTTACATCTGGAAATGAGGGGATTTGATTTTTCAGATGAAAGTTCAGCAAACCGTCAGCCAAATCCAGTTACCATCTGTTTTTGTAAATTAAGTATTATTGAAACACGCCCATCATTCTTTAGATGGTGCCCATAGATGCTCTCAGTGAACAGTGGCGTGACAGAGACCCACAGCCTACAAATCCTGGAATACCTGCTACGTCACACATCTACCACTTCATGAAAAAAGTTGACCAACGTCTGAGTTCTGATTATTCTTGATTTCTGGTTGCTTATTATTTACGAATCATTCTGATTAATCTTGATTTTTTTAAGTATGGGCAGACATACAAGCAGGGAAATCCACGTACATAATAGCAAAGCGGTTCCTATCATTATGACTTTGCATCTGTGGAGGCTGGACATCTTCTTTTGTTCCTTGCTTTTTTAACAACAGTTTTCTTGCTTTTCTTCTTCCTGTCAAGTTTTTCCTGTTGCTTTGTTTTTGTCTGCTATTCTCCTCTCTCCTCTCCACCCACCCTCTCTGTCTCTGCTTTTCTTAGAAACACTTTTCCATTATTAACCCCACATATTAATAATACGTTGAACTTATGTGCCATTGGTCTTTAAAAAGATAAAGCCCTTTGAAACGACTAGGACAGGATGCTAAAAACAAAATGATTTCTGAAAACAAATGAACAGAAACAAAATTGAGGAAGTTTTGTCTTTGTCTCCACAGGTATTTTTCCTTTCCACTCTTCCTGCACAAAACCAGCACTGGGCTCCGGCATTCCTGCTCCACCCACCTGAGCCTGAGGAAGCCTCCTGCCTGGTTTTGGGGCCAGTGCTTTTCCGCCTGGCCTGCCCCGCCAGGGCCCTGACAGGGTGCTGTTTCCTCTGTGCCTGCTGCTATCAGCCAGCCGCCCCACATGGCTCCCTGCTGCTGGCCTCAGGTTTCCTGGGCTGGGTCATCCTGCCAGCGTTTTGGCCACATATCTCCCTCTTGTACCTGAAAATCCCTTTCATTCTCTCTCTCCTTCCTCTGCATCATTTTAAATCACATGGCAAAGTTCTATTTTTACCTTTTCTTTAAATACACTTACCCCTGAGCACTCAATGACTCTCATTTCTTTCCCTTGACTTTCCAGGTAAATTCCCACTGGGCGACTAGTTATTTGTATTTTAGCAATCAGCCTCGGGGTTCCTTCCAGCTGCTGCCATTAAAAGAACTAAAGCAAAACACCAAAATAAGCCCTAATGCTACTTTTCTCTGTAGTGTATCTGAGAACAATCCATCAACTGCAGCTGATAACAAGGCCCCATACACCCCATAATTACAGTTATGCCTGCTGTATTTTGGTGCTGGCAAGAAAGGAGATGGAGTTAACTGATAAAATTCTTATGCAATTTGAGCATCTCTCTTTGAATTTCTTCATCCACACCAAAAATTTACCTTTGGTACTAATTTAAAAAGGAACCTAAGATGTGAGTCAGGGCACTTTAATCCTAAAGCACTTCATATATGATGTAAGTTTAAGAGTTTAAATTAAAAGCTAGCATTTAGTGATTGCTCAGTTTATAGAATTGCTTCTTGTAATCCTTACTAGAACCAGTGCACACAGTGATTTAGTTGTACACTGCACAAGAGAAGACTGCCACATCATGTTCTGCTTTATTGTCCTGAAGATTTTTCACATTTTTATCATAACATAGTTAACTTCAAAGATGAGTGAGCCACACATTTATTAAGGCAGTCTTCTGACAGGTGTTAGTGACATGTCTTATTTTAATAGGATTGATACATATCACATTCCTTGTGGACTTACAAGGGAGAATATGTTTATTGAGATTTTGATGACCTACCGACATTCAAAACAACCTGTTTCTAAGTAAGAAGTTGCTTTTCTCACAGTCTTACTAATTAGTATCTAAACTTCTTTTTTTAATCTCTTATCAGCTCAACACCTTGTGGCCACATAGTCTGCCACTTGTTAGACTGCAGAGCTCCATTTCAAACATACAGGCGCTTTCATTATGATACCAATGGCTACGGAATAGCTAATATTAAGTTAGCATTAATAATATACAAAGTATTAAATTGACATAAATTAAAGATTACGATGTAACGATCTTCTAATTATACTAGAGCATTTGTTTATTTGTTGCTATGGAAATTTCATAATTAACTGCTATTAAAATTTTCAGCTTGTTACATATCTATTATTTCTATATTTGATTTTCTAATTATTGTGATTAAAAATTCAAATTGTATATTATATTGTGTTTAATAATGTCATTTATATTATTTATTCAGAATGATTTTATGTTTGCATAATTGTAATTAATGAGAATCATATAACATACTAACTTCGAATTTTCTGTATGAATTGAGGATTGTGAAGGTGAATGAGGCAGCAACCCGGATCCTTCCACTAACCCCACGATGAGGAAGGCGGCGTGGTGACCTCCTCTTCACAGTGAGAACTGTGAGACAATTTGCCCAGTGTGCAGGGCCAGCGAGGCCCGCAGGATGGACAGATCCACCACTGCCGTCCCTCACTGGTGAGGGAAGTGCATTCATTTCCTGCAGAAGCCACAGCAGATCCGCTGGAGGGCCGTGGGAGGGGCCAGCTGGAGGTGTGATTCAGCACTGAGTTTCCAAAAACAGCCTCCACGGAAGCTCAGGTCAGAAGTTTAATCCCAGTTGTGAGGCTCTGGGCTCTGGGAGGTGGGGCCAGGTGGAACCTCTGGAAGGTCATGAAGTCACAGGGCCCTGTTCTGGGAACGGAGTACTCTACTCATAGGTTAATGGGGTAATTGGCTGCCTGGAGGTTTGATCTATTATAAAAGCCAGGTTAGCTGTGTCTCCCCTCCTCCACTTCTAGCCCTGTGATGCCCCTGTCCCCACCAGCAAGAAGGCTCTCATGAGATGCAGCCCCTCAATCTCCTGGCCTCCAGAATTGTGTGACCTGAATAAACCTTTACTCTTTATAAATTACCCACTCTGTGGTATCCAGTTATAGCTACAGAAAGCAATGGAGACAAAAGGCTAGATGAGAAGCACATTTTGATTGGCAGCTGACCTAGGCTCAAATTCTGTCCTTATCACTCTTTTCGACGCCCTGATTTCCTCCTAATACACCAGTGCCCATCCTGAGCACAGCCTTGCCCACTGTCCCAGCCGGGATCTGGGGCATCAGCCTCGACCCCTGCCTCTGCCTCCTCTCTGCTCTCCACCAAGAGCTCTGCCTTTGGCTGCACAGGCCCATCTGCCTCTCACGGCCTCACCCATCCCCACGCTGGCCTCTCCATGTCCCCCCAGGATGACTGCAACACCCCCTCTCCTAGAGTCCCTCTTCACACGCCAGCCCCCCTCCACCAATCCCCACCATGTGCAGACTCACTTTTCAGCAGATCAAGGCTTGTGTTTTCTAAAACCTGATTGTTCCTGGACATCAGCCCCCACCTGCCCACAAGGTCCTACACCATCCACGGCCCTCCTCCAGCCGGGCACAGCAGACCTCCCCTCAAATTCTCAAATACTTCCTCCTACACGTCGTCCTCTGCACCTGCTCTTCCCTTTGGCCTGCTTCACACTCTTGAAAGGCTCTAGAACTCAGCCTCCACATCACAGCCTCCACATCACAGCCTCCACATCACAGCCTCCAAGTTCTCGCCCCCTGAACTTGAGCACTTCCACTTATCTGCCCCTCCCCCTGGCCTGTGGTCAGGACCAGGTCCCTGCACTAGCTTCTGTATCGCACCTTTTGTTTTCCCTTAAGGACATTGTCCCAGGCTGTGATTCCATATTGATACAGAGCTACAGATTCTGACACGTCTTTATCAACGTCGGGCTTTCCCAGTATTCTGTAAGCTGCACACAGGGAGCGTCCATGTCTGAGTAGGTCATCATTTGGATCTCTGGGCTTAGTGCTGAGCATAGGTCACCAAATTCCTATTAAATGGCTGGAAGAGCTATGGAGCTTTGAACAAATGACTCAGTTCTCTTTGTTCACAAAAAAAAAAAAAGAATAAAAACTGACTCAAAACTCTTTGTCACATCGGCCACTTAAAGCAGTAGAAAGAGTAGCCACTTGATACTCGGTGCTTCCCCGGGCTGCTGTTTCCTACAGTATGCTGCGAGCTACAAGAGTTAGTCTCTTTCAAATTGCTCATAGTTCTATTTTAAAAATGTCATTTACCATTTATACAAATTATTAAGACAATTGCTAAGACACTGCACAAGGAGAGGTGATCAACCAGTCCACAGGAGACCTGGCCCAAGGCAGAACTGAGAGGCCCTGACCTTCAGGAAGCCTCACATCTTCTCCCCCGAGGGACTGGGGCTCTGGAGCCCCACTGAAGGTCTAACCAAACTCACCTCCTCAGCAGAGACCTCCTCCTTTCTCCCAGGGAGAAAGGACTCCTTTCTCCTCCCAAGGAGGTGTGCACGTGTGTGTGTGTGTGTGTGTGTGTGTGAGTGTGAGTGTGTGTGTGTGCGTGCGCATTCCTGCTAAGAAATTAAAGCTCTCCAAGACAAGAATCATCTGAAGAATCAGCCAAAGTGCCCGATTAGGTTTCATTGAATGAATGAAAAGGAATTGAAATTACATGCCAAGTGACTGACATATGGAAAAGTCAAATACAACAAGAGCAACCTGGCTGTTAGGGCTAAGGGCGCAGCACCTGAATCCACAAGATGGCCTGTGTCCAGGGGGTTTGGAGACAGCTCAGCAGAGCTGGAGCATGGCAGGAAGAAGCCCCAGACTGTTTGCTCTGCAGCCACCTGTACTTTACATGCAACCCCCAGCCCTGGGTCCCCTTTGAGAGGAGAGCTTTAAAGATTGGGGGGAATCTCTCCACCCTCCGATTCTTCCCCTGTAAAATATAACTAATGACACTGACCTTCCTCATCCAGTTATCATGTGCAATGATTAATTAATAATTGCAGACTCCTTTGAGAGTATAAAGTGTGACATAAATGCTAAGCATTATTTCCATGCCACTCTGCCGGCTCCTCTGGCCTTGGTGCCTTTGATCTGCTGCTATCTCCTGAAATCAGCAAACAATGCCTTTGTGTCATTAAGCAAATGCAAAATGAATGCTCCTCATTGTTAAAGGTTACCTAGCAATAGAACTTATCTTGTTGTTGAATGGGGGGAGGATTTTGAGAGCCAATAAATACTGTATGGAAGGAAGGGAGGGGTGGAGAACAGTCCTGGAAACAGAGCAGTGAGACCAAGCTCCGGCCTTCAGAAGGAACCGTGTGCACCCATCAGGAGGAGGAGGAGCCGCTGGGAGAGGACCCCACGGTGAGGGGCTGTGATCTGCGCATGCTCCTGCCGTCAGACCCCAGCTCCTGGTTTAGGCGATCATTTGCACTATTCAGGAGTGTGAATGCCATCTGTCATTGTCCTCTTCCTGAGTCCCTGGGTCTCCCTTCTTCCTCACTGTGTTTGGTGGGGAGATTCTGTTTTTCTTTGAATTTTGCCATTTCTAGAGTCAGAGGCATACAGTGCTATCATCACAAAGCCCCTGTGCCCCTGTGTGTCTTCCCTTGAGTCTCTCCACAGACATGGCCCTCATCCCAATGCCACGGAGGTCACCAACCCGGGTGGTTGGCTCCCGGGAGCCATCAGCCCATGAAATGATTGTAAAGGGACACCAGGCACCAGGTGGAGACCACATCCTCGTAAAACGGGACAGCCCCTATTGAGGGTTGGTTTGGTTTATTATTTAAAGATTCGAAGACTATTACAGTTCTCTCAAATGCTCCCTTTGGATTTAGACAAAGAAATAACCTATGGTTGATTTGGTTTAGATTTTTTTTAAACTTAGACTTTTGTACTTCAGTACAGACTTTGGGTGTCTGGTGACCCTACAAGTAAAATCTTTAAATGTTAGAGTTAACATTTAAATCATGTTTTTCAAAAACTATATAAATTTATGATGTACTCCGATCCCCGTATTCCTTTAAATAATACCCCAAACACAGGCTGCCATACCCCCCTGTTTTACTGCCTTGACGATTGGGATTTTATGTCTCTTATTTGGCATTGCTGTTTATTGTCATTCCTCCATAATTCCAGTTTCTGCTGACCTGCTTTTATTTCGGTATCCTTTTGAAAATCTTTCTTTACTATGCTTAGTTAATTCCAACTTTGGAGTTATCTGTAAAGGCCATAAAATCTATCCTAACATGGAACAAGATCGCCACCCAGTGGCCAGGCTGGGGACCCTCTAAGCAGACTTCCAGATTTTTCCTCTGACATTTCTATTTCACTGGACTATAGAACAGAGATGTCCCTAAAAAGCATCTAGCCCAGTCCCTTCATTTTTCAAATGGGCAAGCTGTAAACAGAAGGTCCAAAAGTTTAACTTATTTGGTGATGCTCACGATATCATAGAAAGACCGTGCTCATGACTGGCATCATGCTTCAATGACAGCACCTCCGAGCTGGAGGTGACCTTCAGGATTACCAATCAAGTCCTCTACATACAGATGAGGAAACTGGGGCACAAAAAAAGAAAAGGGGCTTTTTAGTGTTTATGCAGCTGATTAAACTGGGACAAAACCCAGCTTTCTGCATAAGCCTGGTGATCTTTACCCACCAAACCAATCCCATTCATCTTTTTCCCCATTAGATAATCTGGTCCTTCATAGATGACCATGGCAGATGAGCATAAGATAATCAACTTTTTCCTTCATCACAATGAGAATGCTGCACCTTGGGAACCCTTGGAGTGGTAAAATTCATTTTCGTGAATGAATATTTCACTTTAGTATACTCAAAAATGTTTCATCGCTTTTCATTATACTCAGAAGGTATCGAATTTAATTGGAAGCAATTAGAAATTCTAACTATGTCCTCTTTTCATTTAAAGAAAATGCTTATCTTTGGTTCAAAATGTCTCAATTCTGGGATTTAAATGCTTGGATTGGAGAATTTCCTTTGGCAAGTTAGGAACAACCCACATGGTCTTTGAATCCCCTCTCCACTAAACTTCAAAGTCATCTTAATGAAATCAGAAAGAACTACAGCATTGGAGAGTCTTGATCACTGAGTCAGTCTGAGTTCCTGAATTCTTAGGTGACAGGGATTCAGGCGGTGCAGCAGATGCAGTGTGGCTTTGCTCCTCCCACATCCCCAGG